ACTGGAGAAGACATTTGTGTTATTAAGAAAATGTAAAGATCCTAGTTGTCATTGTAATGCCCAGAGATAATTATTTAGAAATTGGTTATAATTTCTAGGAAAATATGTTTTCAGAAGACACAGACACATACATGCATTCACGCATGCATGTACCTGTGTTGTAACACAGAGACTTAAATAAAATCATTTCAGATTATATTGGCTAGTCTTTTCAGTTTATTATTTCTCTTCAGTCAGAAAGACAAAGAAACCAGTAGAACATTTATTTACTTAAGCAGTTATTTGGGGGGGATCCATTGTATCTTCTAGTTATGGAACCATCTAGAGACTTGAGAATAACATCATCTTGGTCTTTTGCTAGATACCCTGAAGAGAAGTTTATATCAAGTCTTTATGTGCATCATGGAAAGAGGCTGAAATAAATCATTCTTCCTCTCTTTCTCTCAATCCACGTTTAGAAAATTGGAGCTATCAACCAAGATAGAGAACTGTTGAAACCATGTAACATGACAAGGAAATAGCGGTGTTTAACTTGGCGAGAAGACAATTTGGAATTGGAGAGTGTGCAGATACTTGTATTTAATATTTGGAAGGATTTTTTTTTTCTGTGAAAATGGACTTGAGTTATTCTGTGTACCTTTACTCTGAAAATGGAAGTTAAAAGTAGGTATAGACTTTATCACTTTATAAAATTAGTGCTAAGTGATTATGTAATGAATGGGTTATTGATAGAAATGAGGATTACGATTAAAAATACTGAGTGGAGAATTTTCAAAACATGAAACACAGTTTACTTCCTGGATTCCCATTAAAATCAACAGGCCATGTGCGATTAAAACCTCAGGCAAATTTCCAAATATTTACTGTGGCCTATCAGTGAGGGCTGTGGAGTACCACTCATGAGGGGATGATGTTTGACTTTTCCAGCTGTGATTGTCAGGGCACCCCTGTGTTGCAGTTACTGTTATGCAGCTTTGACATCTAAAATCAATGTTATAATGACAGCCTGCATGCTCACCAACTCAGGCTGGCTTACAGCTGTGAGCAGTTATTGTAAAATGTAGTTTAGATTGTATCTTGGCAGCTATGCCTGGGCAATTAAAATGTGTTTACTGCAATGTGCTAAAATGAATTCCAAATTGCAGTATTGTTGAATTTTTAAAAATAATATATAATAAATTATTTTTTAATTGCAGAAGTTCAGTGCATGGTAAGAATCTCAAGAAATTTTTTTTATTTTTTATCAAGATGTGTTAATTAAATTTATAATTTATATGATTAAATATACTATAAGGTGTTTAAAAAGAATTTTCTATTGAAAAGCAAATGTTCTAGATTGCTTATAATGCGTAACATGATGTAAATGCTATATAAATAGATATTATCTTGTATTGTTTGGGGATAATGACAAGAAAAAAATGTCTGTATATGTTCAGTACAGATCCAAAAAAAAAAAAAATAAAGAGCAAATGTATGTTAAATTTCCCCTTCTTTAGGGCATTTGAATTTTCCCTCCAAGTTTCCCAAATATCAGAAAAGTAAGGAAATTAGATTTGTTTTCTTAACACAGAAATGTATGCATCAAGATGAATTATGTTCTTCAAAAAGTCACTTCAGCCATGGTATGCTATCAGCTCTGTAATTGAGTTGTCAGTCACACAAGAAAATGAGTCACATTATTTACTTTGCTCTAATTTTTGAATAAAATTAAGATTTCACAATGCATTCTTCTACCCATATTCCCAGATATAAAAGTAATTGAATTTTGGATGTTTTCAAAAATCAAATTCATTTTTGAGGGATCAAGATTTGCTACTTGAAAGATATTAAAGGCGCAGCCAGGCCTGAAGGCAAGTTCATAAAGAATTGCTTTCTGAGAGTTTGTGTATAGTACACAGGCCACTGCTTCAAGGGACAGGACCTCTCTAAAGGTAGCAGTTTAGATGTTTGCTAAAAATAATGAGCTTTTCCGCCTTAAAGGCACACAGTGCTCACCACACCTCAAGGCTTTCACTCTGCCCTGCCTGCAACACTCAATGCAGTGGGTTGCTATGCGGATTCATGGGCTATGACTATGCTTTGTAGGCCACGAACACTTATATTATTACTGTGTGTTTTCTTCTTCCTACAATAAAAAATAAGCTGTGTTTAAGGCATCTCCTCCTGCAGTAGTTCTAATTCTTAGACAAGCTGGGTATGAGAGGACTATTGGGGAGATTTTTTAAAAGTACAGATGTCTAAGCCTTGCCTCAGACTACTTAAATCAGAATTGCTTAGTTTGGTGTTAAGGAATCAGTATATTTTACACAATTTGTTAATTATGCTTTTTTATTTAACTTTTGTTTAGTGGTTGCCCTAGAATTCATAATATACATCTTTAGCTTACATGTCGAACCACAAATTTATACCTACACTTTGAGTTTCTCCCTCCTTTCCTATGTGGTATCATTGTGATAATATTTTTCATTTATATTTGTGATAAATCCCATACCTTGTTTCTGGTTTTTGCTGTGAATGATTGGTTACCTTTCTATGCAATTAAAAGTAAGGAAACAAAGTCTCATATATTTACTTTAATTTTTATAATTACTGGTACTCATTCCTCTGGGTAGCTCCTGTTGCTATTAAAGTTCTTATTCTGGCAAAGAATTCCCTCAGCTTTTGTTTGTCTGAAATAAACCTTTTATTGCATCTTCACTCTTGGAAAATACTTTCACTAGATGTAGAATTTGGAGTTTACAGATTTGTATTCATTTTTATTTTAGAAATTGCTTTAAATATATCATTCCAATGTGCTCTGGCTTGCATAGTTTCTGAAGATTAGCCTGCTGTAATTCTTGCCTTTTACTTTATGTTTTTCCTTATTCTTGATTTTAAGCAGCTTAACTATGATGTATAAAAAGTGTATTGTTTGGTAGTTTTCCCTTTGGGGGTTTTGTGAGTTTCCTGGGTCTGTACTTTGATGTCTTCATGATTTTGTAAAATTCTAAACCATTAACTCTTTAAATATTTCTCATCTCTCCCTCTCATCTCTTTTTGAGACTTCGATTACATTATGTTAGACCATTTGACACTGTATTCTAGGTCTTGAATGCTCAATTCTCTGTGGGTTTTTTCCAACTCTTTTGTCTTTGTGTTGTAATGGGAATGATTTCTTTTGACCTGTCTTCAAGTGCACTGTTTATTTCCTCAGCTCTTTTGAGTTTACTGATTGGTGGTACGTTGAAGATGCTCTTCTTCTTTGATATAATTTTTTAAATTTCTGGCTTTTCCATTTGACTATTAAAGTTTCCATATCTCTGCCGAAATTCCCTATTTATGTATATTGCTGACTTTTTCAAACTAGATACTTTAACGTTATTTTAAAATTCTTGTTTGTTACTTTTCATATCTGGTCACGTCTGAGTCTATTTCTCTTGATGGTTTTATCTTTTCTCATGGGTCATTTTAGTTTTGTTTTTGTGTATGTCATAGTTTTTGGATGAATGCCAGATGTCGTGTATACAACAGTGAAGACTGAAAGAATAGTTATGCCTAGAACTTAGCATGCCTTTTTGTCAGGCCATAAGTGTGAGGTTTGGAATCAATCTAACTAGGCTAGGACCTGAGCTGGATTTGGGTTTTGTTGTTACTGTTATTATTTTCAGGGCACTACAGCCCCTCAATAATTGGGCTGCTAATGCCCTGCATTTATATTCTAATATCTTTAATATCATGTTTTCAGACTCATGGGTCAAAGTCTGGTTTTAGCTTCTTCTTTGACTCAAATGTGGTGGGCCCTCGGGTACCAGAGTTTTTCTCAGTCTTCCTGCTCCCCATTAGATTTTAGTTGCCCTTGCACACCTGTGTTGTGGAGCGAGTCTCTCCCCAGGCATTGCCCTTGCTCCAGTGACAGGCGGCTAGTGCATGTTTTTTAGTATTAGGCTTACAGTGAAGTCAGCGCTATTCCCTTTTATCCTTTCCTGGCCTTGTCTTAGGCCAACCTGCTTCATGTCTGTGGTTAGTCTTGGGCAAAAGTTTCCTTCCCTTACCCAAGTGGGAACAGACCTCTCTTCTGACAGGAGTCAGTTCTTGGGGCTGAGAAGATTCTATGAGTTGAGATTTTTCTCTTCTACTCTTCATCTGTAGCAATTATCTTTACCTGTATCTTAGAGGCCAGAGGGTTCTTTAAACCTCCCAGGCCTTCAGAGCCACATTGTGGTTTGTTATGACTCATCCTTCAGAAGTGTGGATCTCTACCTAGCCCTGTGGGCAGAAGGGTTCTGTGCTCCCTCAAGCAACCAAGAGCTTTTGCTTTGCAAGGAAAAATGCTCGTGGAGTAGAGCAAGGCTTCATGCCAATTCACTGGCCTCCATAGATCAGCTCATTCTCACCTGTACTGCCAGGGAGTGTCATGTTCCCAGACTTTCTCATGGCATCCAGTTGAGGCCCATGGAAAGGAGCTTGCCCATTAGAACAGTCTCCCCTGTGTCTTGAACACCAGCTATTCCAAAATGACACATTAGTTCAAGTGATTTTAATGAACAGAGAGGATTGTGAAACACCAGGGGAAAAGAGATTTCTTAGGAAGTAAATTGGTTTTATAGAACTGTCGTTAATATGAGCATTATTAGAATTATAAAACCAAATCTCATATTGTTTTCCACTGTCTTTAACATGGAGCACTTAGAGATTTTGAGTAGAGGATCATGAACAGTATAGGTTTATTCACAAGCAATTCTGGAATTTTTTAGGTTTTTGACTGCAAACACTGTCTTCAGTGCCACGTAGTTGGCCTAAGTGTTATCAGAAAGGAAGATAGTGATCTGATAACTTCTGTACAAAAGATTGCAGGTGTGTCCGATTTTTAGGAGTCATCTGTCTACTAAAATCTGATGTTACCTTGATGCCCAGTCAAGATCATCAGCTGTTCTGGACATAGAAAGCTTGTTGGCATCTTGCAGCTAAAGGAGACTCTGTGACTGTGTCTCTTTCTTAGCACATGTTTTCCCTGTTGGCAGAACCGCATCGCCAAGCGCAGCAGGAAGCTGGTGGACTACGACAGCGCCCGCCACCATCTGGAAGCTCTGCAGAGCTCCAAGAGGAAGGACGAGAGTCGGATCTCTAAGGTAAGGAGTGAGTTCAGGGTAGATGCCGCTTACCGTGTTTTATGACTTGTCACAACTCTGCTTTTTAAAATTAAATGTTTCATTTTTGATGAAGGTTGGAATCAAGGCAGAATTGAAACTGAAAGCTGGCACTTGTGGACTGCTTTCCATCATTTTTTATTAAAATAAAGTTTTTTTTATGTTATTGTGGAGTTCAAGAGGGTGACCCTGACTCACACGTTTTGCTCAGAATAAACTTTTGCCTACAGTGTTATACGATCAAAGGAAGTAATGTGTGTCTGTACTTCCGTATGTGTCTGTGATCTACGCTTGATGGTGAAATGCAGATTCAGATGGAAACTCAAGCTGAAATCCTCAAATACAACTTGGGATTGAGAATACAGACTTGTATGGGAGAAGATTTTTTCAGGTTATGTCTCTGACAAAGGGTTAATAACCAGAATCCATAGAGAACTCAAACATATTAGCAAGAAGAGAACGAGTGATCCCATCTCTGGGTGGGCAAGGGACTTGAAGAGAAATTTCTCTAAAGAAGATCGGTGCATATCCTACAGATATATGAAAAAATGCTCACCATCCTTAATCATCAGAGAAATGTAAATCAAAACTACTTTGAGATATCACCTCACTCCAGTAAGATTAGCCCATATCACAAAATCCCAAAACCAGAGGAGAAAAGGGAACACTTCTACACTCCTGGTGGGAATGTAAACTAATACATTCCTTTTCAAAAGACATCTAAAGAACACCTAGAGAACTAAAAATAGACCTGCCCTTTGATCCTGCAATTCCTTTATTAGGTATATACCCAAAAGACCAAAAATCACATTACAACAAAAATATTTGTATCAGAATGTTTATTGCAGCCCAATTCATAATTGCCAGGTCATGGAAGAAGCCCAAGTGCCCATCGATCCATGAATGGATCAACAAACTGTGGTATATGTACACCATATACCATAGAATACTATGCAGCCATAAAGAAAGATGGAGACTTTATGTCCTTCATGTTCACATGGATGGAGCTGGAAAATATTCTTCTTAGGAAAGTGTCACAGGTATAGGAAAAAAACTATCCAATGTACACAGCTCTATTATGAAATTAATTTATATCTTTCATATGAAATCTATAACCTAATAACAGCCTAAGTATGTTGGAGAGGAGTATGGGGAGAGGGGAGGGAGAAGGGAGAGGGAAATGGATGGAGAGAGGGTGATTAGAGGGATCACTTCTATGGTTTATCTTACAAGGGTACAAGTGAATCTTTCTAAGAGTAGAATGTGATTGTCTTAACACAATAACTAAAAAAATGGCATGAAGGCTATGTTAAGCAGTTTGATGAAAATATTTCAAATTGTATGTGAAAACACCACACTGTACCCCAGAATTGCATTAATGTACATAGTTATTATTTAATAAAAAAAAAAGAATGTCATTCTGCAATGAAAAAAAATAAAGTGCTGATAGATGCTAGAAAAAAAAAAAGAGAGAGAATACAGACTTGTGTGCTAGATTTGCATAACATTAATTTTCTTTTGGAAAACCCATTTTCAATACCTTTTGTTATGTATGTCATCACCTTACAGATGGCAACTAACTGAAGTCACCTACTAATTACACCCTTTTTTTTTTCAGTTTGGCCATTTCCTATGCCTGCACTGGCTGCCTAAATGGTCTTTCTCTATCGCATATGTAGACATGTCTCTCCTTAAGTCTTTTAATGGCTCCTCTTTCTTATAGAAAAAATTCTAAATATTTTAGCCTGGCATTTACGGCCTTTAAAATTTGGCTATATCTTACCTGTCGAGGCTTATCAATTGTCAGTCTGCCCTTCCCCTCCTCTACACCTTTCACACACACCAAAGACAGAGCCTCCACGGCCTCCATGTCAGCTCCTCAGCAGCCCCATTAGCAACTGTCCTACAGGGGAGGACTCATGCCAGGCACCCCGTTCAACATCTCATTTGTAATACCTTGCCTTAACACTGATGACAGCCTGTGAGGTGCACAAAGGGAAGGCAATATGACAATTCCACACAGTGAGAGAGCTAGAATTCCACCCCAAGGAACTCCACCCCTGCGTTTCACGCTGACTTTCCCAACTCCAACTCCTACTTTAGCAAACGTTTCCTATTTCTTTAAGATTCAGTAAAAATACCACCTTCTCTTTGTGAAAACTCCTCTCTTCTCTGTACTATCTTCCCTGTAATATACTCTGTACACACTGTAAGTCTCTTTTTTAAATACACCTGTAATGTTTAGACTTTCTACTAGACTATTTCTTAGGCGAGTCCAGTGTAGTATCCAACACAGTCTACATGGAAGGCAGTCACATATTTTTATAGAATAAATGAACCAGCCAGAAACTGCAAAAGCAACCATTATAATCAATCTAGTTTCCAGTTTTAGTTTCTTAATATTTAATTTTAAGAAATGGTGTGTATTTTAACCAAATATCTATCCTTCCCAAAGTATTTCCAGGATGCATAAGGCTACTTATGTTTTATATTAAATGGTGTTATTGTATATAGAAATAGCTTGGTTTTTAGTGTAAACATATGTTATGTTATTTTCAGGCTGAAGAGGAATTTCAGAAAGCACAGAAAGTGTTTGAAGAGTTTAACGTTGACTTACAAGAAGAATTACCATCATTATGGTCAAGGTAAAAATGCTGTTATACAGACTATACTTTTCCCCTTTACAAAGTCAAGAACAGTGAAAACTCCTTAGCTTGTCTTTATTATCTGTGATGATTCAGTGCTGTCCAGTAGAAATGTTCTCTACATTTCCATTATGGTAGCTTCTTGTCATTGGGCCCTTGGAATATAGTGAGTATAAATTGAAGAGATACATTTTAATTTAATTTACTTAAATTAAAAATATCACATGTGGTTAGCAGCTGCCATGTTGGGTGGTGCAATGTTAGCCCATGATGTATTTCTCAAGTGGAGACCAAAATCTCAGGGAGAGGCACTAGGAAAGCTGGCCTCAATTTACAATATACCCCTTTAGCTCTTCATGGAACACCCTTTATTCCGAGAACTCATCTAGCCTTCTGTCTCTGATACTCTACATTTCTTATCGAATTAAGTGCTTTTCCTATAGTTTGTTCTATTTTTTCTACCCCATGGTAGCACTTAAAGATTGTTGGAGGATGGCTCAACCAGCTAAGGCGCCAGCCACGTACACCTAAGGTGGTGGGTTCGAATCCCCAGCCCGGACCCACCAAACAACAACGATGGCTGCAACCAAAAAAAGTAGCCGGGCGTTGCGGTGGGCGCCTGTGGTCCCAGCTACTTGGGAGGCGGAGGCAGGAGACTCGCTTGAGCCCAGGAGTTGGAGGTTGCTGTGAGCTGTAATGCCACGG